TTTATGTGTCAGAACAGGTTTGATTCTGAACTGATTATTTGAAAAGTATGTTGTTTGGGATTTATACACTCACTAGACCTTTTTGGTCTAACGTTCAGTTGTTGGACTAATATGTTTTGCAGGTCATCATACCTCGCAAGATAAAGGCAAGGGAAAAGTTTAGAATGAATGACGTTTAGTTATTCAAAATGTATTTTAAGAAAGTTTTTGTTAATCTGTATTTTGTAAACGATGTTACATTTTGTGTTATGAATATGATGATGTGGATTATCTGTACATAGAATATGTGGGTTGTTACAGTAAATTAAATAATTAATTATAAAAGTATAAAATATAACATAAAAATTAAAAATAATTTAATTTTACATGCTTATATATATAGTATAGATAACTTCATGAGTTTGCACTTTTTCTGTTTATTTCTTAATGTTCTTTCAACTTGAGATCCGGGATCGTTCTTGGAGGAGGGAAGGACGGACGTATGTCTAGGACCCACACAAATTAGAGTTCCAATTTTTTTTGTATATATAATAGTAGTTCAAAAACATTAGTAAATAGAAGAGACATAAAAAAATTAGTATCTAATAGGATTAGAAAAGATTGTGGTACTAAATTAACTATTAAAAACCCAAAACATATATTAATTAAATATATTGGAAAAATTATATATAAAAAGGTTAATTTGTTGTTCATTATATAATATTATTTAATGTTTTTCTAAATTTTTAAATCTAAAACCGACGTCTAAAACTACTTGCCTCAAAAACTTTATATATTCTTCATAATTTATCTCCGATCGACTCTTTTGATCAATCCATTCTCGCGTGAATTCTATTTTTATGTTAGAATATAGTAGATTTTCTTGTTATTAGCCAACAAAACCTCCATCTTTTGAAAAATTACGAACCATATGAGACGGTGCAACTTATATCGATATTTAGAATAATAAAACTATAACTATTTTTTTTTCATAGTTATTTTTTATTATCTAATATTGAGTGCATAAATCTTATGTACTCTTCCATCTCTAAAAGAAAAATAAGATCCCAAACTATCACCAACATGAGATTTTTTATTTATAAGATTGATGATTTCATAAAAGTGTGTTTTAACCCTAACGCTATGTTCTTGAGTCTTTTTTTGACATAGGAAAGAAAAATATTTTGTTCTCGAGATTTTTTTGGGTAAAGGAAAGGAAAAACGAAATTATATCAAAATTTATTTTTATTTCACTATTTTTCCTTCCTATCTCTTCTCTATAAAACACACAAATAAAAAAACTTTATTTTTCTTCCTTTCTTTTCCTTTCACTTTCTTTTCTTTCCCTCCTAAATTCGAAAACATAATATAAAAGTTTAAAATAATGTTAAAAAACATTAACATAAGGTGACATGGAAAACTAACTTATTTACATTGATTTACATAGTTTTAGTCGAAAATCAGAAAAATTAATTTTGTGGCCTCCAATGATAGCATTCTATATATCAAAAATATATCATAGGATGTTTTTGATGATGGAACAAGTTAACAATGCTACATAAAAATGTTCTAATAGTTAATAATGATTTAGAAATGGTTATCGGTTGATTTTGCGTCTAGGAATACTCGAAAAAATGGTTTTATATGAATTCAAGATTATTTTTGATGATAAAAACAATATATTGAAAAAATATCGTTCATCGAGGGTCCCTTTTCACATCTTGTCCAATGTCGGGAACATGTCTGTTGAGATCCCTCCCCCCATGAGTTCGATATGCTTTTTGATTTTGTATACAGCCTTCTCATAAACAATATCGTTTTACTCTTATTCTGCTTTATGAATCTAAGTTTTGATTTGTTCATGTGTTTGGATAAGCAGGATATGTGTTGGAATATGATAAGCCATAAAAATCACAGGATAAAGAAAAACGACAATTCCATTTCAAGACAAATTGCATATAGAGATTTAACATATGATAAATAAAAAAAGAGGACCGAAATCTATAACAATTTACACAGGGATCAAATCCACAATTGAGTGATCATCACTCACTTGTCAACTTCCGGTTTCATTCCTAAGGTTGTCATTTTCATTTCAGATTTGGTCAATTTGATTAAAAGAAACTATGCTACGTTGGTCTTTTTGACTTTTTGTGTTTTGTTTCATTAGATTTAATGTCTTTTCAAAGGGTTTTTTAAAAATAAATTTCAATTTACATATACTTGCAACATCTATACAACCTATTGATGCACCCCCACCTCCACCATCCCTCTTCTTCCACTCATGGTCACATAGTCTAGCAAACCCTCCGCCTCCTCGATGAACCCAAATCTAAACTAAAATTCTGAAGCAAACCCATATCCAACATAAGGAACAAACTCATATTCCAAAATTAAAAAGCACATCAAACCCTAAATGGAAGTGAAAGCAAACCGTTCTAAGTTTAGACAGTACGAGCTATTGACCTCTAGAAAGGTTGGATTACCGAATACCATTAGGCCAAATGCCCTTTGGTAATATGGAAAATACAAATACGCACAACAAAACATCAGGCAGTCCTCGCCCCTCGGATATTTATCGAGTCTCTATGGTAGTGAACTCAAGACATGCTGACACATTGAAATCAAACAAGTTGCATGAACATCCGAAACAAGATGTTCCGTCATTACTCATTTATAACAATCAAAACATCAAATCATAGGACACGGAAAAGAATGCTACGTACCGTACATGACTTTAGAGTTCCACAACAAACAAAAAAAATACAACGTTTTTAATTTGTCAACGGTAGAAGAGAACTACTATAGAAGAATTTAAGCTATATTTCTTACCGCCAGTTGCCGACCATTCAAACAACCATCTAATCCTCTTCTTCCATGAGTGACTGAAGCAGCATGGTGCAACCAGACATGACCTCATCCTTCATGAATCCCATGGCGTTGGCAAAACGTGTGTCAGAGACAATTCCATTGTACCTGGTTAGAACCACACGGGCACGGTCGCGGCCTGGGTCAGCGGTCTTGCAGTTGCCGAGTGGGCTGCTGACAAGAACCACATCACAGGTCTCATCTCCGTGATCTTCGTTTACACGAATGCTGTATGTTCCTGTGGAATCGGTTGTTCCTTCCATGCTATACAGGAGTTTCTGTTCCCTATCCTTGCATTCCACCCTAACCTTGGCACCTATAAAGCAAGAACCAACGGCTGAGTTGATAAAGGGTGCTGCTGTTTAAACCACTTTGGTTCAAATCAAAACATTACAAATGTAATATGAAAAAAAACGAAAAATTTGATGTTGATGTGTGTGGGAGGAAATTTGTAAGGAAAAGGGTTAAAATAGCATGGACAGTTATCATGTCATACAGTCTTATGAACCATATGATAGAAATCCAGTGGCCACAAGAAGAATCAGATATGGAGAACCATAAAAGTAACAAATGATCCTATATTAATATGCCTAATAAGAAGGTTATACACCAGTAAGAAACATAAAATATTTGTTAAACATACTTCAAACGATAGCAATGAATGACCTGTAGAACGGAACATCGTCATTCAGTTCAGGAAGACTAGGGTTTGCCAGATAGAAGAAAAAAACATTATGATCTAGAGAATGTTTTGGATAGATTACATATTCTTGCCCTTCGACGTGAACCCACTAAAGGGGAGACACAAGTAGATCAGAAGCCAAGACTCCATGCATCCCTAACAGTATTGCATAAGCCACAAATCTCATCAAAAACTAGAGATCCTGTATAATCCATCTGTAACAGAATCTCTTGTACACTGATTTGCTGTTTGTTAAAACTCGCTAATGTGTTCGCAATGCATTTCACACACCCGATACAGGATCCACATAAATGCTCTCACTTATTTTATTATCGATATAACTTAGTTTGCACATCATATAATATTACCACTCTATTAGATCTACAAAGCAACAAGAACAACACACATTATGCTAATAGATCCTCCAACACACCACTCTTTGGATCATATTAGAATGCATATCACAAAAGCTTATGCTTACCAATCCAATCCAAAAATGATTCTGAATCTCCACAGAGCACAGTCAGCATCATACAATACTTAAACATGATTACCAACCTAATTTCCCAATGATGATGAGATTATATGACAATGCTTGAATAATACAAGAAATCCATGCATTGAAAATAAGAAAAAATAATTTATAATATCCCAGTTGAAAATTTATACCTTAATTATTTATTAAACATTAAATATATCAACAACCGACATTCTTCAACGCTAATTTCTTGATAGAATAAGCAATACACCGGATATAGATCTTAGAAAAACCACAAGTTACAGATCTACTAAGTACTACACAAATTCGACCGTCATTTATCTAGATCTACAAACTAAAACCGCATACCGGTAACCAAGTCAAACGAAACCACTCAAACCAGTATACCCGACACTGAGTTTAGGGGTTTAGGATGCTTGAATAATACGCGAAAATGTAAGTGCGAAATCAAAAGCGACAGATAGAGATCCATGGATGAGTAAACTTACTAGCAATGTAAGTGGTGGCGGAGGTTTCGAAACCGGCACGGCAAGTATCGCAATAAACTCTCCCCTGCAAGAGGAAGGGCTGCGACATCGGACGGGAAGCGCTGATGAGCGCCGGCAATAGCACGCATAGTGCTAAGATCAACCCCAATTTGGCCATTTCTGCGCAAATCTATGTTTGTGTGTGTGAAGAGGAGTGATTATAGTTAATAAGGGAGGATCGCGTATGAAGGTGTAGAAAAGGGTGTAGTGATAGTACGCGTTGAGGCTAACGTGAGCTGGAAGCACATGGGGCACCCGTGAATGATTGTGTGTGGCGGTGGAATCATTAAAGCTGGTATGTGAGCGCGTGGACGTGGCGATTGGGTATGCATCGTGGTTTCAGATGGCACGTGGAGGACACGAGCGAGTATGATAAGGAGTTCCACCGAACGTAAAAAAGAAAGGGTGTAGTACCGAATCATATGCTACCCGACCCCACCGCTTCAAGCATCTCCGCAATTGCGGAACCGGGTTCAAACCGGGACTAAAAGTCGGATAATGTAGGCAAGAATATGAATAAATTACCGATTTGGTCCTTAAAGTTTATTTAGATTTATTATTATAGTCCTTAAACTTTATCTATTACTCTTCTTCCTCTACAAATTCTTTCAAAAACCCAATGGCACATTACCCATGTAAATCAAAAACTCTATATCTAAATCAAAACATTAAATTTAAGATTGTGTTTGTTTTTTAAGAGGTGTTAAAGTCTAAAGTCTTATTTTTTACTTCTGATTAATAAGAGGTGTTGTTGAAGTCTGAAATCTGAATCAATAAAACTGTTTGTTTTTGTAAATTGACAAACGTCTGAAGTCTGAAATCTAAATCAATAATTTGTTTTTGTAAAATCAGGTGCAAATATTTTGCAAAATTCTGTTGATTTTTATAAAATTTTCTTTGCCGAAATTCATCTCAACAATTGTTTAACAAATGGAATATAATAAGAACCTTTTGGATACCTTTCAGACTTTCGGTGCTCTCGGGAATGCCGCCAGTGAGTTGTTTGTGGAAAGCTCGATATTTTTGATAGATGATAGATCGTAGATAAAAATTCTTGTTTCACATTAATCTTCTAAGCAAAAATATATGTACAAATGTATATATATATATATATATATAGAGAGAGAGAGAGAGAGAGAGAGAGAGAGAGAGGTGGAGACATACATTTCACATTGTGTAATGAAAGGACAGTGGCATCCCTAACGGAAAAAGAAAAAAAAAGCCAAAGAGAATTAGAGGGGGTTTAAAAAGAGTAAATTATGTTTTTAGTCCTTGTTGTTTGTTGAAATTTCTATTTTGTCCCTGTGATTTTGAAATTATGATTTTAATCTACATAGTTTATAATTTATTATTGTTTTCGTTCTTATGATTTAAACCTTATTGCTTTTTTCGTTCCTATAGTTACAGTTCATTTTTATTTTAGTCTCTCATACTTGAAAGTAGTGTTTAGTCTCAAGGACGAAAATAGAAATGAGTTGTAAATAATAGGGATGGATACCGTAATTTTAAAACCACAAGGATGTAATCTGCAATTTTTGACAAAGCATAGGGACGAAAAACATAATTTACTCGAGTGAAAACTATAAATTTCAAGTTGAAGAAAGTGAAACCTATATTTCGATGAGAACCATTCAACATCAAAGAATAAGGAGTTGTTGCCTAGACCTCTGCCTCCGGCAACCCCTCCATCTCCACCTCCAACTGCCCCTCAACATTGGCACAAAACCCGACCACTCATTCACCTTCACTTTTATATGAATTTTTCACAACAAAAACCTTCATGTTTTTGTGTGTGTTATCGAGTGTTATTAGAAACCTCCCATGGTTAGAAGAGAAAAAAACCCAAATGAGTCCAAGCAAGTCTTTCACAACCCTCCCTCGATTCCCAACTTCGACGACCAACACCATCCATGAAGTGCGAGTCAACGAGTCTTTGTGCCCTCGTTGGGGAACTAGGGTTAAGTTCGAGACATTAAAACCTATTCTTAAATATCAAACAAATTTATACCCAGGGTCTACCAGAATCGAAGTTCTATCAAGATTACCCCTTTTCTATGTCTATTTGTAATGATTGTAAACATTGAAGTATGATTAGTAGAATATGTTGTCTATTCGTGTTAGGTCGTTTTTTTATCTGTTGATAGATGAACATAATGATAACCCTAAAACAAGATTCTTGAACATCCCTAGTCAAAATATTAGTTGATACTTGGGTTTAAGTAATATGAGACTATGGAGTTCTCTGTATACGTATTATAAGTTGGTGAACTTGTATACCAAAGACTTACGATGAGAACATCGCATGTGATCTCATATGAGTGGTAATACATGTTTATCATACAATCATAGAAGAAAAAAAGGAAAATGAAGTTGTCAATTTTAGAAATGTACCATCTATTTTGATTTGATGAGAGTTAAATTAATAGGTATTTATGTAATTTTACTAAATTGTCAAAGAGTTGTCATTTAATGGACTGAATGATTTGGTGTAGAATGATTAAAAGGCTCTCATGGTATAGTTCAAAATGAAATATAATTGTTTGGTAACTTTTTACAATGAAATTAAAGTGCTAAATGATTAAACAAAATCATTCAGAAGGTTTTGGAACCATTAAAAGAGAGGCTCTTTTTTTATCAAACAAGATTCACCTCTTAACGATTTAGAGTCTGTCTCTTAATAAAATTATTAAGAGGTAAACAACCAACCACTAACTCTCTTATTTATTTGTCAGAGTTTGGGAAATATTGTTGTTAGTCTAAGAGCAATATTTCCCAATTCTAATATAATGTTTCTATAATAACAAGCACTTTATGCAATAGAAGCATAAACCCATTACTTTTTGACAATTAAACCATTTAAAATTACAGTACTACCCCTGTTAAGAGCTTCAAATCCTTGCAACATTCTCCATTCACATCAACAAGAAGATTGAATGGCAAAGCTTAAATTAGTTACCATTATTACAAATCCTATCTCTTCTATGATTTCTTCATTTTTAACTTATATGATGCTTTATGTTATATATATATATATATATATATATATATAGATGTATGTGTGTATTGGTTCCTCCTATCTACATGTCTACGCTCATTTTGTTGATCACTTAGACCTCTTGAAGGATCTTGGGTGAACATGTAAGAACAGCATCTGCTACTGTCAAGAAAATCTTATCGCCGATCAGATCAGGAAAACTGGATGCATATAGCTTGTCTAACACCAGACGACCAGGGTTCGCAAGAACAAGCTGTCAAGCCAACAAATTCAGATTCTGTACGTTAGATGTTTGTAAGCAGCTTAAAGAAATTAATGGCACTTGCAGCTTATTCGGTCAGCTATACCTAACTATTTGGTAGTGGCTTAATGATATAGAAAGTGGATTATACACTAAGCTTCAGGGGGGGGTTATGCACAATTCCAAGTTTTTTCTAAATCTGCTCCTCCGAAGTAAAAAATATGCTCCTTCCATCTACGAAAAAATCCTTCCGAACAAAAATCTTCTCAATCTATACAGACAAAATAATCCACACAAACAACTTTATTCATACAGGACTTAATGAAAAAGCAAACGAACAGCCCCATTTTGAAGAATCTGTTGGAGATGCTCTAACCTTTTACTGTTCTTTTCAAGATTTTAGACGGCACTAGAGGGAGGGTGTTTGGCACCAAAGACATGTTATTTGAAGGTTATTACCCGAATACATTAATGGGTACTTACTTGAACATCTCTCTTAACCAGACTGCTGTTTAACTCTTCAAATGCATGTATTCCACTAGTGTCAATGTCGGTAACAGCTGCAAAGGCAAGGAAGACGATATAGTGACGAAAACCCGAATCTTGCAAATGGCAAAAAAAACTCAAGATGCAATGAAAAACACAAGTTTCTTACGTGACATCTCGATGACTAAGAACTGAACTCTTGGTTGGTATGTTGCTCTTAGATGCTCTTCTTCTACAGTTAGCCATCTCAATATTCTGCAAAAAGTGCACCTTTTAATCCGTCGGTCTTTGACTCTTGGGGGTTTCGATTATAACCATATTTGAAAGATTTAACTCAAATGCTACCTTTCTTTAATGTAGTTGGAGTTGGAGAAGTAGATAGCAGAATCAACTCTCACAATTAGAACACCTGGGACTTTCGTTGCCTCCGGATATTGTTGGATGTTCCTGTACACACTCGTCATCGGAATCCTTCCCAATATAGCCGTTCGTGGCCTTGTAACTTGAAGAAGGATCTTAGCAAACGATATTGAGACCTAATAAATCAACAAAATTAAATAAAAGATTAAAAAATCAACCTCAAACTCACATTTCATCAAGTAACAAGATGCATGGTCTAATTCTTACAGCAATCAAAAGACCAATCTCAACTGATGCAAAAACCACGCCAAGAAAGGCTCCCATACAGGCAACAAAATCGAATTTGTCAATCTTCCAGATTAAGATGGCTGCTTCATAATCTATTAAACCGATCACAGCAGATATGATGATGGAAGAGAGGATTGCATTCGGGGTGTACTCGAAAAGAGGTGTCAAGAATTTTAAAGTTAGGAATACGACACACGACATCACTATGTTAGAGACTGCTGTTTGGCAGCCTGCCATATAGTTTACAGCCGATCGCGAAAAAGAACCTGAAACAAACCAACACAAGAAAAAAGTTATTAACTTTCCAATAAACAAAAGGATATCTTTTTGTTTTTCTGATATCGTTTTACCTGTTGCTACATAGCATGATGTCATTGAGCCTACAACATTCATCGTTCCTAATGCTATCATTTCTTTGTTCCCATCGACTTGGTAGTCCTTCATTGAAGCAAAGGTTCTTCCGATTGCAACGGCTTCCTGATACATCAGGGGTCAGATAGAATGTTATTTTATGGGAAGCAAAGACAGTTTTTGAAGGCTTGAAATGAACATACCGTTAACGCTATCATCCCAGCAACGATACCAATCCTAAACCCTTTTAAAAGATTTTCACCCGAAAAATAAATCTCATTTACAGATGGAGGGTTGATTCCTTGCTCTATATGTTTCACCTGTGAAAAAATAATCCAAAATAATTGATTTTTATGAAATAGTAATATTTATAGGGAGAGAAAACGAAAGTAAAAGCTCTTAGTTCTTACAATGGCAACACCTTCCTTCTCCGCATGGGTAATATACACGAAAAAAGTGGACAAGATAACTGAGATTAATGGTGCAACTGCAGACACCCAAAAGAGTTTCTTGTTTCTCTTTGCCTG